AAAAACAATCATGAAACTTTAAATATACAATATCAGCTAAGAAAATATTTTGTAAGGTATAATAATAGGCCTTATATATATATGTTTTAAAATTCATGTTAAAAGATACACAGAAGTATCTTGAATGAAATGATGGTTTCCAGCATTTGTATTTACATACAATAGAAAAGTCAGGGAACAGAGAAAACAAAATTTGGAAAAGTTTTTAATTTTTGAAGGTAGGGTGTATGCATTTAGAAGTTCATCATTCTACTCTACTTTTGTACTGTATTTTTAAAAATTAATCTAAAATATGTAAGTAACCAATTTCCTAAGTGAGTCTAATTAAGTGTGTTCAAATTATGATTACTTCTTTTAACTATATCCCAAAAGGCTGGCTTGACCAAGGAGTTGTAAAGCTAACCTGACCTTTGGACTTAACATTCCCTCTATCTAAAAAAATAACCAAACAAAATAAAACCCAGTAAACCAACCAAACAAAACTTTAGCTGAAGGACTGAACTAGAGATAGCAAGCTCTTAAAAAACAATGACCAAACTCTTTTAAGAATTAAAATTGTTTAGGCCCTGGCTGGTGTAGCTCAGTGGATTGAGCACGGGCCTGGGAATCAAGAATTAAAATTGTTGTTTCTAGTACGTATTTGCCAACATGCAGTCTACTCAGCCAGTAATTAATTGTTGGCACTATTATCGGGACTATTATTGATTCGTAACAAATTCTCCTGAGCATATTCACTTAAGTACTGGCGTTTAAAACTTTTTTCTTGCACCAAATTTTGAGAATCAGAAATTTCAAACCGGAAAGATGTTAAAAACCCAGGCCACTTAATTGACAGTGTTTCTTCATTTCAAGATGTCAAGCTTTTTATTTAAATATTTATTATTAAATATTTAAGCTTTAAATATTGGCACCCGCCTACCTACTGAGAATGTTTTCAGGACCATACCATTTTGAGGGGTGCACCTGTCTGTGTCCAAATGCTGCAGTAGGGAAAAATGTGAGAAAATGGAATCCACGCAATATAACTTTTGATTAACTATTACTTTCCATTTTATCCCATTCCACAGCAGAGCTGTGAAAAAGAATTAACCAATAAAGTTTTTGACTCAATAAGGTAGATTGCATCCAGAAAGCACAATGCTAGAGTAGAGGACACCGGAATTTAAGTCATGATTTAGCCACACTGGGAGAGCTGGCCAAATCATCCCCAATTTCTCAGCATTTTATCCTTCAAGGCTACTCAAGGAATAGTTTTCAATTTTATTAACTAGAAAACTTCACAGGGTTGTTTGCTACTGTCAGCTAACGGCAGGAGTCAAGGGTATTCAGCTACTCTGAAAAACTTGATGAATACTACACTTTTTAAAAATGCCTCATAAAACCCAAGCTCTTCAAAATGAATTCAGGACTTAGGTGTAAGACCTGAAACCATACAACTCTCAGGAGTCAGCATTGGCAGTAAGGTCCTTGACATCGGACTTGGCAATGACTTTGTGGACACCAAAATCAAAAGGAGCAGAGCAAAACCAACCTGATGGGACAACTAAAAAGCTTCTGCACCACACAAGAAACCATCGACCAAATGAGAAGGCAACCAATTACATGGGGGGAAATATTGGCAACTCGTACCTGGTAAAAGGCTCATATTCAAGATATATAAAGAACTCATACAACTTAATAGAAAAAGAACTCTGATCAAAAAAATGGGAAGATCTGAACACACGTTCTCCCAGACATGGGAGGCCCACAGGCACAGCACTCGGCACCACTGATCAGGAAAGCGGCAATCAAAAGCACAATGGGATGTCACCTCACCCGTCAGAATGGCCACCATCAAAAACAAAATGGGTGTTGGTGAGGATATGGAGAATCCTTGTGTACTGTGGGACTGCAAATCGGTGCACCCACTAGAACAGCATGGAGTTTCCTTCAAATTTAAAAATAGAACTGCCTTATGTCCCAGCGATTCCTCCTCTATTTATCTGAAGTAAACAAAAAGCCTGACCTGAAAAGATTGTACGCACCCCCACCCCATTCCCTGCAGCATGATTTATAATAGCGAAGATAAGGAAGCAGCCTGCGTGTCCTCCAAATGATGGAGGGGTAAAGAAAGTGTCCCCACCCCCACCCCGGGTTATTAGCCATAAACAAGAATGAAATTGCACCATTTGCCACATGGATGGACCCTGAGAGCATTATGCCATTGTAGTCAGAGAGACAAACACTTTATGATCTAACAAACACATAGAAATGTAAATAAAACCCAAGCTCATAGGTACAGAGGACAGAAAGCTGGCAGACAGAGGTGGGGTGTGGGAACTGGATGAACTGGGTAAAAGGAGTAAAAATGTACAAATTGTAAGTTCTGGGAATGGAATGGACAGCATGGCAACCGGAGTGAATAATACTGTGGTGCATATTTCGAAGTGGCTGAGGGACCTCGGACATTCTCATCACAGGAAAGTCTGTAACTATACATGGTGACGAATGATAACTACTGTCATGCTCATTTTGCAATATATACAAATATCAAAACATTTGTTGTACATCTGAAACTAACGTCAATACTTTTGTGGACTTTTTTGAGATCTGTTTCATTTTAGACAAGAGGGGAAGGGAAGGAGAGAGGGAAAGAAACATTAAAATGTGGTTGTCTCGCACACACCAACTGGAGACCTGGCCTACAACCCAGGCATGTGCCCTGACTGGAAATCAAACTGGAGACCCTTTGGTTTGCAGGCTGGTGCTCAATCCACTGAGCCACACCAGGCAGGGCTTTATCTTTTTTTTTTTTAAAGCTCAACCTCAATACAATTTCCAAAAATAGTAAAAAAATGATGAGGTATCAAATTATTAAAATATAAATATCTAATCACAAATAATTCCTATGTATACATTTGCCATTCTAAACCTTTCCCACTGGTGCTAAAGATCCCAGGACTATCAAGGAAGAACCTGGCACTTCCAAAAAACGGGTGAAGTACAAGGAAAAGGCCCTTCGGGGTAGGAACCTGGAGCTGGAGGAGGAGGGGCAGGAGGGCTGACAGCACACTCATGTAGATTCTAGGGGTACCAGGCCAACCGCTAAACATTTCTTCTACCCTTACCAATCTTTCGTTTTAATTCCTAAAATTCCACATATCAGGCATAAAACTTAGCACATGTCCTTGGGAAAGAATGTAATTTTTTTCAGAAGGGGAAGGGCGTTAGCAATGATTAAGTTCTTAGTAAGAAACATGCCGTGGATGGTATGGCTCAGTGGACTGAATGCTGTTCTGCGAGCTGAAAGGTGGCCAATTTGATTGTCAGGGTACATGCCTGGGCTTTGGGGCAGGGCCCCCCAGATGGGGGCATGAGAGAGGCAACAGACAGATATATCTCTCACACATCAGTTTCTCTCCCTCTAAATTTCAAAAATCTTAAAGAAAAATGTGGATAGGTTTTATTTATTTTTACAGGGAAGGGAAGGGAGGAGAGAAACAACACCCCCAATTAGAGACCTGGCCTGGAACGCGGGCATGTGTCCTGACTAGGAGTTGAACTGGCAACCATTCAGCTTGCAGGCTGGTGCTCAATCCGCTGAGCCACAGGGCATAATGTATTTTTCTCTCTTCCTATATCCCAAGATCAATTACTCTGAGAAGATGAGTTTCTGATGGAGAAAGTTAACATTAACTTGGGAACCTGAAGCACTTGCTGGGGAAGGACAGGAGGCTGAGATAGTACAGGGCACCCACCGGGACAGTGGAAATGAAGGACAGACACCTAGTAATTTCTGTATCAGCACTGCCAGGTTCAGAAAATGCCTTTTCTTTACATCTAATGCTGCTTTTAGAAAAACCTCATCACACGTAATATGGTGCAACTATTCAAAACTACATTCAGTATATGCAGACTGCAAGGCTTAAGCATCATTTAAGCAGGGATTCTGTGGCTGTGTTTGTTCCAGCTTCCTTCAATTCCTAGTCATCTTTAGGAACACAGCCACCTTATACTGGCAAATGCCTCTGGTGAATAATGTAAGGAACCTGGCCCAGTTTCACTCTTTGCCATAAAAGAAAATTTCATGCATTTTATTTTAAAAACACACTAACAGAGAAAACTCAAATCAGTGTGTAATGCACTTACAAAATGGGGGTAATTTTTAAAAAACCTATAGCTCAACAACCAATTATAAACTCCACAACAAAAAATAGTTCCTACTTGGCAGACTGAACAGTATCAATAGTTTGGTTTTGTTTTACTAAGTAGCATCATGTAGTTTTAATGTGAAAACAGGTTAACAGTAAAAAACCAAAAACCTACAGGCAAACAAAAAGTTCACCACATTAAACAACTAAGTAGTGTCTAAAATTTTTTGCAAGTTTCTTCCCAAAATGTTTTCCAATAAGTCATTCTTCTTCTCCAGTGAAAATGAATACACGAGTTGCTTAATAATAAGCTTAATTCTCACAGGCTGAAGTTTAACTATTTACTTCATTTGATGAAGACACAGATGTGAGACATTTTCAAGACTCCTCCAGACTGGACATTACTAGACTCTCGGTCATCAGGAGGTTGGAGCACGGGATTGGGGGGCAGAAGATGTAGGGGGATTGAGAAAAAAACAACAGAACCCCCCGGTCATCAGAACACCTCTTTCCTTGTGACTCACCCACTACATAGCTCATGGCGAAGAGGACTTTCCAAGCTGACTTTCTTGTTAGACTTTAATCTTGCAGGAAGTTGTCTTTGGGGTTTTATTAAAAATCTGTCACGGTGGACCAACTGAATGGCTTTCCATGGATGCTCCTTATTGTTACTGACATCACCCAAGGAGACAGGCGTTAATACTTACAATTCAATGAAATGCCAAAAATAAACATTTCCTAAGGATTCTGATTTCCAATACCTGCCTATATCATTATAAACACTCATTACTTGTTCAACAATTACAGAAAAAACTTTGGAAGCTAGGAAAATTCTCAATTTGAGGTAAATAAATAATATTAAGACTAAAGTAGTCAAGATTTCCTTTTACTCAAAAGAATCACTTCAAAGAGTCAACCTCCGTGTACAAAAGACAAGCTCAGTCACAGGTATCACTGGACACAAAGGATATTCCAAAGGTCTTTAAAAATGTTAATCTCAAAAAGGAAAGTTAACTTTTATAATATTTCATTCATTATCAAGACCATACTTGCTTAACAAGATAATTATGCTATTGATATAAAACATACAGTATTTACACTTAACTGTACAAAATAATTTAATGTTTACAAAAATATTAGAATGTTTAGAGTTGACTGACACAGTCTTAAGCAATCTCTTCTAGAGAAGTATACAGTAGGACCACTGATTTCTATTTCATTTCTTTTTTAATAAGTCAAAGAAAGGATGTTGCAATGCTTCATCTAAGGTAATTCTTTTCACTGGGTCATATTCCAACATTCTTCGAACCAGGTCAAACAGTTTCTCGTGTTCTTCATCATGAGAAAGCATAAATTCCTGAGGGGAGAGGGAGAAAATCAAATCAAATCTTTTGATTTTAGAAAGATATTTAAAATATTTTAGACATTTTTTAAACCTCCAAATTGTTTTTCTTTTACCTTTAATGGTTTGCAGCGTCTCCTAACATATCTCCCAGCAGAACTATGTTCATCCCAATCTAGCTGGTTGTGGTGAAAATACTTGCGTTTTCTACAGGTAAAAAGAAGTCTGATCAGTAAAAATAACAGAAAAAGATCCATGTTTATCCTGCTCCCACTAGGAAAGAGTATAAGCACCTCTGTGTACATAATTTTTAAAAAGCTTAGCAATAATCACACACTAGCTGGCTCATAGAGTGCCTCCCTTAATCTTGCATGCAGAGAACAAAGCCAGCTTCAACAAGAAGCCCCTGCATCCATTCCTGTAAATTCTGATTTCCCCAGATCTGAAATGGGGCTGGAGATCTTTGAACGAACTCCCTGGATGACTTCTGAGGTGCAGCTGTGTTTGAAAGCCATTATTGTGCCTTGTCCAAGGACACACAGCTGGTTAGAAACAGTACGGAATTCCAACTCAGGATGCTCTGACTCCAAAATCCAGTTCTCTACTGTGCTATGCATTACTGTTGTATCGACTTACAAAAACAATTATGCAAAGGCTAATGTCAGTGTAAAAACCACCCCTTTGTTTACTAGGTCACAGGCAGATACTGCATCACTTTCCCTTTTCTGTAGTTTGGATACAGGCTACGGCACATACTCAGCAAAGGGCTCCACTCTCTGAGCATACCTGGTTTTCTGAATCATGTGTGTTGGTATGGGTCCTAATATTCGTTCCATCATTGCCAGGTGCTCTTTACTATCATGAGTCTGAAAAATGTAGAGAAAAAACTTTTAACATTTTTCATTTTCCTACATGCATACTAAAGGAAAACATTAAGAAAATATTACTGACATAAAAGGATTAGATTAGACAGTTCACACAACTTATATTACACTCTACTTCAAATATGGAACAATGCCAAATGAGTTGTATTGCAAACCCAATAGTCTTTCGAAATGAACCAGTAAGGCAGAGGTGCATAACTTGTTTAATATAAAACTGAACGGTTTCCTTATTTATTGTGTTTCTTGTACTTTCTAACTGAAGGATGACTGGGGAAGATTACCAGGATACTGTCTCTTCATTTAATCAGTCACTTAACCAGAGCCCCCACTACCCAATGCACAGAAGCACATTAACGCTTACTAATTCTAGGCAATAAAAACAGTCCCAGTAATTCTCACAACCACCCTGAACTAGGTGTACAGGAACATGAGTTTCAAAGAACTGAAGGTACTAGCTCAAAGTCACATGGCTCTTAAATGAGGAAAGTGAGCTATGACCCCAGGTCAAAACTCAGTGACAGAGCCCCAGCCCGGCACCAGGAGAACTGGGGAAAAGGCCCCACAGCTGAACGGGACACCCCTAGGGCAGAAACCGGCAGCTACTTAAAGGGAATTAAGTAAATATCTGAGGCATGGCTGGTCGTTATCTGTCTCTGCTGCCTATTCTTTGTTTTTTAAAGCAGGCATCAGGCAGGGTACAGCCTGCCAACCCTTGTTCTGGAAAGCAGAGGTTGTGTGTAACACTTTTTCAAATTTATTAGCTGTTGTTTGCCTTGCTCATTGCTTTAAAAATATTAAGTACTCCATTCAAGACAGGAACAAGTACTAGCTCCACATTTTAACAAAGTTTCTTAGTTGGAGAGTATTTTGGAGGGTAAAGTCCAAATATAAACCTTATCTCAAAACAATGTTAATAATTTGCACTTCACTTAAAACCTTGGTGATCTACAAGTACAAACTCACTACAACGAAGCACATATTCTGCCTAACTTTTTCTTGACCCTACAGTTTATTACTACAAAACCAGACACTACTTCCTTGAGCTGACTGACAACCATGGCCCAACAAATTCGGAGTCCTTTTAACAGGATCTTTCGGAGCAGACAAACCAAAGCAGTGAACACACGCTGTCAACAGCCACCTAATGAGTCTAAACTCCTCAGCTTCCTCCCACCCTACACAGCTGTAGCTTCAATCCACCTTGACAGCATGAGCCAGAATCTCCTGAACCCCCACCACACAACCACAAAAGAATGCAACTCCCTGATCACATCACAACCCCACTTGAAGTTCTTTGATGGCTGTAACACCTAAAGTATTCAAGATCTTTAGATTATAGATGTTAAGTAAAATTTTGAGGCCAAAAATGCAGACCAAAGTAAGGTTTCCATAAAAGAGACACTTTACTACCCCCAAACCTAGGAGAGATAATCCCCAAACAAAGGCCCCAGGAGTCCACAAGGAATCAGTCAGTCCCTGACGACTGTTGCTGTTGCCGTTCCCCCATTTATGCAAGACTGACAGCACCACCTTTTTTTTCTTCACTGGCGGGAGCAGGACCCTGACCCTCTGTACCTGCACCCACTTGCAGACTGGGGTTCTTTTCCTGGCACAGCCGTCACACTCCCTACTTTCCCGACACACCCCTACGCTTCCTTCCAGCACTGGCTCTGACTCCCTACTGCTGGTGATGTTGCCTCTAAGAAAATTTAACTGATCACCTTTCCTGGTGTCCCGCTTTACTTTCAGCACTGAACCATTTACAGCAAATACCACATTATACTATAAAGTTTCCTCATATCTAACTTTTGCAAGTTCTCCTTGAAGATATATCTTTTAATTCTGATACACTTAGAACCTCCAAACACAACTTATTGTTCCTAAATTCTTCTATAAAAAGTATTAAGTGACTTGTTCATGGCTATACTGACAGTCAATATATCCAGAACAGAATTAAAACTGGCCACAGTAACGCTAACATAAATTTATGAAGGTGAATAACAAAAAATGGAAACACACACAGTATGAACATGTGTTAAAAACTCCAATCACATGTAAAATGAACTGTGACCATTCACCAAGAATTGTGTTTCACTCAACTATTGTTTTAGAGAAGGATAACCATTCTGCATATATAAATTTCAGTCTTAAAATGACACAATGGCAACTTTTCAATGTGGAAGCCAAACTGCATACGTCTTTAACATTGAACTTAAATGGTACTTATTAAACACGTACCTGAAAGACTGTGAAACCAAGGTAATACTCAATAAGAATGCACCCTATGCTCCAAACATCACAAGGCTGAGACCAACCTAGAGCTATTTAAAAATAAAAACAAACATTTTATTACACAGTAATTTTTAATTACCAATTTACTACATCCATCTCTATGCATAATCTCTTTTTATAGTTCATTTTGGAGAGTGTAACAATACACTCATAGTTTGCACTTTTAGTTTTCTATCAAACATTATTCAGTATGTTCTCATGGTCCTCCATATCATCAAATTACAGCACTTAACCTGGGAGAGGGGGCAGTTTCTGTAAAATGAGAGGGACTAGTAAATATTCCCCAAATACCGGTATGACTACTGATTTTTGGAGATACTCTGTAGTCTCAGAAGTGCATGTGCAACGGGGGCACTGTTATACCAGTTCATGTTGGTTAGGAAATTTTACATGTTAGTGCAAATACAGGTCAATAATTATTCTCAGAATGTAATTACTGAGCCCTTATCATTATCATAAACTTGATGCCTAAGTTTACTTCTCCCCAGAAAATAATAGTTTTATGCAAACTATGAGACTCATGAGTGTCATAGGCAGTTTCACCTACAAGCAGAATTACAGAGCCATTACAGTCCACACAGAGAGACCTGTGTGCATGCTCTCAGCTGTGTATACATGGTCACACCCTTTCTCCTTCCGAGTTCTCATATGGCAATACTATTCTGGGAAGAATAAAACACCCAGTGTTCTTAAGTCTGTATTTAAATTGGAAAAGAGATGAACAGAATAAACCACAGCGACATTTTAATCTTTTAAATATCAAATATTTAGTAAACAATAACGGGTAAATAACATCTATTTTAAAAAGAGGTTTTCAGTACTTTCAATAACATCACTGAATTTAAGAAAGAAATAATATAGGGTCCAGCCCAAATAATGCCCCTTATTTATTAATTGTGTAACATAACAATATCATACTCAAACATACCATATGACATTTTAGGTGAAATGTTCAAATTAAAAAAAATTATACCAAAAAACTCCCTCTCTCCCCCTTCCCCTCTAAAGATAAATAAATAAAATCTTAAAAAAAAACAAAACCTATAAATTATTAAACCCATATTATTGCCCTACCAACCACATTCAAATAGGCATTACTTATGCTGGATGCTATATGTTCAAAGTCTTTGACTGCAATTTAGTCATTTTTGTTAACCTTCACCGTACTTATCATCAGAACAGATACTAGAGCACGACTTCTACTTATATACCCACACAAATAGAACAGTAACAGGAAAACATCAGTTGTTTTGTGTTTTATCTCCCATGTTAAAATGTGAGGAAGATTCTGAATTTTAAGTTAATAAAACCCAGGAAGTTACTTTCTTTTAAATTCTGAAAATTCCTCCCTGTCCACAATCTCTTCCTACACTCCTTTCCTTTACCCTCATAGTGAGTAGCCTTCAGTCCTCAACCATGGGTGTTCTTTGTAAATTACTGTAACACAGCAGCTCCTTTCATACCATACTAAGTAGAAATCCTATTAACTATTTCAAAAATAAACTCTAAACCTGTGCTGGCCAGTATGGTAGCTACAAGCCACAGGTGGCTATTTTAATCCCAAATTTAAATTAACACAATATTTAAAGTTCCATTCCTCAGCCCACAAGTGGTTAAAGATGACCAAATGGAGAGTGCAGACATGAACCATCTCCATCACTGTGAGACGTTCTACTGGCCAGCACTACACAGTATTCTTGATTTCCTTACCTCTTCACCAATCCTCTACGTAGATAAACATCATTAGTTTCTTTTCACACTCCTATCCCCTGAACTACCAAGTCCTATTGGACCAAAAAAGGGTAAAAACTGGACACAAATAATTTTATAAAAATGCTTTATTATTTAACCTCAGTTGGACCTTACTTTTGGCCAAACAATAAGCTTGTTCCACTTATCTCCCTATAGCACTTGATCTCAACTTTTTCCACTGTCTCCAAGCCCCCAAACCCACCCAACTTCCCAGCTATATTGCCATGACCTGGTCTCTAACCTTTAAATTGTGATGCATGCTCCCTTCTGGTCTCTAACCTTAAACTGTGATGTATGCTCCCTTCCTGAGTTCCCAGTTAGTGTAAAACTTTGCACCTGAACTCCTTTTCCTTTCCAGTCTTTTCTCCTGTCAAGGGTAATAAAAGAAGCTCTCTTTCAGACTAGCCTTTCTTTTATTCCTCTTGACCTCCCCACCACCCCATATTGAGAGGTCTGCTATCCCAACCTCTAGGATTTGCATCAGCACCATGCTCTGTGACAACAGGAAACTAAATACCTACATCACTTCAAAGCCATACTGCTGTGGCGTACTTAGCCAATAAATGAAGCCTGCTCTTATGAGCTTGTAAGATTAACTTGTTCCAAATAACCACCACCTGAAATATCTTTATAGGCAGCATATTTTTCCCACTCAGGAAAAATATTTATAGTAGTGTCCAAACTGTTTTTATGAAAACAGCAAAGCATTTTTTGTACAATGCTAAGAAAATCACTCTCCCTCCTACCAAAGTATAGAGAACAAAAAGCTCTTCAATTACAGTATCAGAACTCTGGTGTCTACTGACCCAAAATGACCTCTGGAGCTCTGTAATGCCGTGTGGACACCAAGGTACTATGATGCTCGTCATCGTATGTGGCACTTCCAAAGTCAACCACTTTGATATCCGTGCTTTTCAATGTGCGTTCATCACGTTTCTAGAAAGATACAGTTGAATAAATGTGAAGATTAAAAAAAAAAAAAAGGAAGAAACCTTTTACAGCACTACCCAAAAGGCTTGCATGTAAATTATATTTTTGAATTTTCAACATAACCCCATGAGAAAGGCAAAGAAAGATGATCCTTCTGGGATTAAGTATCAGGATGGAATGAGCCTCAGAAGTGAAATTCCTCAATAAATGATTACCAAGCTAAATTAACTACAAAGAACCCACGAAATTAAAACAAGTTTTAACTTACCATTTTAGAGTTGTATTTGACTATATAGTCAGACTTCACAAATAAAATATTTTCAGGCTTCAGATCTGTATGGGTTAGCTTATTATGATGCAAAACTACAGGAGAACAAAAACACATTATTAGTTTCACTTTTAAATTTAATCTGTACTGGGGTGGAAGAATAATCAGTGGTGGATACTGGGGGTCAAGAAGAACTTCATCTTTACAGTATGCATTTTTAGTGACCATGTTTTGGTATGTTACTAGTATATCAAACTTTAATTTTCTGACATTTAAAGATTTATCAAGTATACTTACAATTTATTGACTGGCAGATCTGAAATGCCATCTGCCTGATGTGGTCAATTTGAAATGGCAGAAAGCTGTTTTCTTTAATGAAATCATAGGTACTAAGTCCCAGCAATTCAAATACAATACAAACATGGCCATGGTGATCAAACCATTCTAGCATCTGGACACATCGGCTAAAACAGATCAAAATAAAAATAATTCAGTTAACAGAATTCTCATTATATCATATAACATGACGGATCATAGTACAAGTTTCTACTTACAAGACACTATTGGGGTCAGTAGAATTTAAATGCTCTAATACTTGGATTTCTGAACGAGCTGCTTCACGGTATCGACCCACATTTTTTACAATTTTCACTGCTACGTGTATGCCATCCCTTGAAAAACAAAATTAAGATGAAAATGATAAGTGTATAGGAGCAAGACAATGCTTTAAAGAATAATCTTATTGAGTATCAATTACTCAATTTTTCTAAAACAATTCATAAATATCAATTACTCTATGCTATTTTTCTAAAATATTATACCAGACTCCACATAACATCTTTTGAAAACATTTTGACAATATATTTTATATGAAGTAATGATTCCCTTAATACTTATGAATTTTAATGTTTGTTTCCACGATTTTAAATTTACCTAGATGTAACACAGAAGTTTAAAAAATAAAGATAAACCTCAAACAGACTGTAGTACTGGTGAAAGCACTGACTCATTCAGCAGGCTGGACCCACTCTGCACCAGATAGTGGACAGGTCCGTGATGAAAGGGCAGTGCTTGTCCCTATGCCCCCAACGGTCCAACGGAAAAAGACACAGAAGTGGTTTATGAAAAGGTCAGAAGTGCTTGGTGTGAGGTACTGTGTAGTAGAGGAGGGGGAGCCAAACCACTGGGGGTTAAGGGAGCTCCAACTTCTTCATAGGAGAGGGGACACCCAACCAAACCCTGAAAGACAGCTATCAGTTTGTCAAAATTGGAAGGAAAAGGGAACATATGGGCAAAAAAGACATCAGCAATACATCATGAAGTCGAGAAAATGCCTAGCACGTTCACTGACGCAAACAGACAGAAAGAGCTCCAGTACAGAGCAGGAGCTTCAGACTGGGGCACCTAACACTTCCTAAGTCGTATAAAGCCAGGAGTGATGCGAGGAAACAGGTTTCCACATCTTCAACTGCCTTCTGTCCTCCTTCCTAAATCCGATCATTGAAAACATGAGCCAAAATTCAAGCCTCTGTTCACTATGCCCCACATGCCCATATTAGATCAAGGTACGTGCCCTGGACTATGAAAAACCTTTGAGTCAAACAAATTTTTCAGTGGCTAGGTAGCAAATTTTTCCCCAAATCTGCTAGTTTCCAATTTGTTGCTTTCAACAAGGACCCAATGAAGCTGTGGGCTGATAAATTATTAAAAAGTATTTTGATAACATTCCTACGTTTGGTATGTATCTGGACTTAAACAGAAAATTGTCTTAGAATCTCAAGAAAATTTAAAAGGACAATAATAGGGCAGCTGGTAAAACCTGAATAAGGTCCACAGATTTGCTGGAAAAATATGAAAATATAACATGTAATGTGTAAACAATAAAGAAAAATACTGTAAAGTGTTAAAATTTGGGGATTATGGGTAAAGCATATGAAAATTCTTTGAATTATTTTATCACCTTTTCTGTAAGTCTGAAAATATTTCAAAATATTTAGAATAATGTTCTATGTAAAGTGGAAGGAAAATAAGTTCTAGGATAAAACATTTCCAAGCACTAAAAAAGAGTTTGTTCATGGTGATAGGTATTAAGTGGTTATAGCATTTAAGATTCCTTCAAAGACATTTAAAGAAATAGGCTAAAGAAAAAAAAAAGGATGAAAAAAATCAATTCTTACAGTAAGATATGAAATATATCCTTTCCAACTATTTTATAATGAAAAACTTTAAGGGTCAATTTAGAAACATGCAGTTTCACTGAACTGTTTTAAAAGGTTCATTTACAGAAAAGTTTGCGAACTACAGAATAGGGTTCTGGAGGAGAATATTACAATGAGGCAGACAGGGTCAAATCACAAAAGGTTTAGCATAACTCATTCTGTAGGCTGTGAGTAATATAATTTCTTTACAGTTTAAGAAGTTAACTCTAACATGCAAATATTATCCTTTGGGAATAAAGGTTTTTTGAACGAAGACACGCTATGCTTTATTGTCTCTCTACGGTTCAAAAGCAGAGCACTACGAATCTCTTACACAAGGTTATAGGACGAAGTTCTTTCTGGGAAAGTCTCTTCTCCTGAATACCTACTCTAATTTCAATCAGCTCTGACAGAATTTGTGAGCATTTTTTATCAAAATTCATACTCATATAAAGTAAATCATGCACAGAGTTAAAAAAAATTTTGAATATTTACACCTCCCAGGAAAACATGTGACTACTACTTAAAATACCATTTCATCAAGTCATTATGGATCCTTCATCCCCAAACATACCAGAATGCTAAAAAAATAGATAAATAAATAAAAACACTGCACACACAAACTTACATGCCATGATCAATGCATTCTACAACTTTGCCAAAGGCCCCTTCACCCAAAGTGTCCACGATTTCATCTAAAGTGAGGGGGGAGAAAGAAGTGTAAGTACCTGAGCACAAATTACTAGTTATTCAAACAATGAATGCTTAAGTGTGGAATACTTTCAAATGATCTCTATCAAAACATAACTAAGGTTTCAGCACTCAAATTATTTTATTTTCAGCTTCTACAAAGACAATTAGATAGAGCTATCTTTCTTGATCTAATCTCAAATTCCACTGATTATTTTGGAACTTTAGAAATATTTAAATTCTACAGAAAAGAAGAAATACAAAACAAACAAACAAACCCACAAAAAAACAAAAGAAAACAAAAAAGCAATGAAGAGTTCTTTAGCCCCCCGCTGACAAACTATTCTTAAAAAGATTATTCTGTCTGCAAAGTTTAAAAAGTGTTGAAAAATATTCTATACATCTTGCTCTTAGAACGTCTCCACTTTGACAGATCAGGTGACCCTCCTCATCATCCTCTATACTCCTGGATCTTTTCCTTCGGTGGCTCTTCTGGAACGGCAAGTGGGCAGCACCAAGATCGTCCAGCCAATCAATATATCAGAGTGAATTCAGGGCAGAATACGCAATTCATTCAGCGGGGAGATATTCAGGCATTCAGATAAGCACCAGGCCACGAACAGTTGGCAGGAGCAATTTCAAATTCAGTCCCCAGAAATTCACAGGGCACAGTTTATGTTACAGAAGAAAAACATGGCAAGGAACAGATTTTCAGATAAGATACTTAAAGTGGCAATAGAAAAAAACAACACAATTGTTTCTTTAAAATACTGATTTAATTGAAGTCTGAAATTAAAGAATGCAATGTCATGTTCTATTAATCTCTTGCTATAAAATAGCATATGCTGTGAGTTGAGATGTCTAATTTGACAAAAAATGTTTTATAATGTCCAAGATTAGTTGAAATTACTTACTTAGGAATATTTTAAAATATACATGATTCAAATAAAAGAAAAAAGTAATGGCTAGTTAATTTCAATGTTCAATCTAATCAAAGCTAGTTTTACTGAAAACTTGAGATAAACAATGTTTTAAAGTTTACTGATCAAACAGGTCTGAGTGTAAAAATAAAAGGGCAAGTTTTTAAAAATACATTTCCCACTCAGCACCCATTTTCAGAACCTCAGTGGAACCAGACGCAGACAATGCACTGTGCTATGGGACTATGCTACATACCGGGTATTTAAGTATAGCCACCAGTGCACCCGTCTAGGTTTCCAACCACCAGGAAAGGAGTTTCTTTTAAAGTAAGAAAAAATGTTCAAAATGAAAGATGAGGGTTCATTACTTCCTAACATCATATCACAAAACATAAAAATAGAACATTTTTAATATTAAAATCAAGAAACTCATGATGTGGTCTACAGAAAATGAGTAAATTTGGGCAAACGAGGACTAGCCAATAAATACAGTTTAGCTATATGAATTTGGAAGTTTCCTTTAAAAATTCAAGTAATATAAACAATATACACAAATAGTATTATATAAATTTTCCAAACTTATTGGCTCATTAAGAGCTTTACACACAAATATGTATCCACCCCAAATAAAAACGAAACCACTCATACCGAATGTGACTGATGGCTTGAGCAGTGTCTGTTATGCTTCCTTTTGGGACTGCTTCTCAGGCTTTGGACCGAAGATTTACTGCAGTGGATTCGGTAACTGTTTTCCACATCTCTGTGATAATGCCTAGGAATGTATCTTTCGCAGTAGTCATTTCTGTATTCATCAACGTATCTCCTGTCCCGATAATCTCTCTCATTCAAAGACCTTGCTTCTAAATAATGACTGCAAACACATCAAAAGACTTCAAATTACTCTCTTCATCCTAGAGTACTGTGGTTCAAAAACATTCTCTCAAGAATTCCTGGCTTAAAAAGCTAACTCAAAAACAGAAAAAAATTCAAACTGATGAATTAGAATTTATACTTATCATAAACCTAAGAAATAATTTTACTTTAACCAATAAGCAAATGGGTTCCTAATTTCCTATTATATAAACTGCTGTTAAGCACTTCACATCAAAGAACAAAGCTTGAGCCAAATCATTTCATTATGTTCAGTCTTCACTTAAGTGCCCCTTTGCATTCTGGAGAAAGACCAAAAATACACAAGACTGCATCGGTTTCATGATACATGCATCTGCACCTGAGCTTTCTTTCCTCACAGAGCCACGCACAATTATAGGCATACAAAATTCCTTTTTCTTTTCATGTAATTTTTAGATATCTCTGGCACACAGAGAGTTCTTCCATAAAAGGTGGTGTTATTAGCTCTAGAAGCAATCTTAAGTGTACTCCAGGCGTTTCATTTCACAGATTAAAGTACCTAGAAAGAAAATGATTTGCAAGGGTTGTAGTACACAGGCTGTGATTAGATGAACCAATTTTATTACACACATCACCTACCCTATCTCCTCTCTTAGTATTTCTGGTTTCCTGTTGTTTCTTTAAAAAAACATACAAAAACAGCTTTTGAAGGTTGCTTCATGTACCAAAAACATTAACATATATCCCCCTAAAATGAGAACAGGGATCTTGTAATTCCGCCTAGTATTATAAGAGACCCGCCACCCTACTTCCCTTTGCATTTCTAATTCCTGTTATGCCTGCTTATTACAAAATACGCATGAACTCTCATAGAAAACAGCATTATTTATTGCTACGGTAGTTAACTTCTGAATCTACAGATCCCTCTGAATATCTATGAAAGATATGGACCCTATTTTACCAAGAATTGCGCCAACACAACTAAACTTGATAAGGGATTTCAGGCATCAGACCATAGGAAGTCAGTGTACCCCACTGAAGTAGCCTCAATCAGATGGAAAGTAAAGGACATATATTCAACTGACTCAGTTTCCTGTCCCCCTCTACCCGGGCTGAGTGTCCCCTTCAGCAGAGTGTGAAGGAGGGACGTGCATGGAGCACTGGGGGAGGGAGAGAAGGACACCTGCCCAGTCAGACAGATCAGCTACAAGAATCCTGACAAGCAATGGAGTGACGATGCTGACTGGACTGCCCTCTCCAACTCTCTTTTTTCCCCCACAATGTAATGTCACTCTTTTTCTGGAGAAGGGGAGATGGGAGTGGCTGCTTTAGGCAGAAAGAGAGAGTCATTTCTGAATAGGCTCAACAGAACTGGCATCAAATGCAGGCTGTGGAGATGCAGGGACTCCCTTTTCCCTTTCCCCAGCATCAGTCTTAAGTTCTGTGCATTGGAGAAACAACTCAGGATATCAGGATATAAATGTGGATCTAGGCCAGCGACCTGATCAGTTGGCTTGGACCTGTTGGAGAGATCAACCTAGAAATTACCATATTCTTAAAGGCACCTGCCCTATAAAAGTCCAAAATCTTTATCAGAAAAAAAGTCTTTAACTGGAATAATGTAGGAAATTAGAACTGCTGATAATCCATAAACAATCTATAGAACAAACACAAAGTGGAGTAATACTATGAAGATAAACTAAAAAGATGAGGACCTCTTCAATCTGTAACAACCAAGGCTTAGAGACTATATAAAGTGCATAGAATTCCAAAGGCTATGGACAAAGTAAACAGTATGAAAAGATTTAATTTCTAAAAATATTCACTAAATATGTAGTGAAGTTTTCACTGTACACCCTCAAAACAGCCAAGACCAATGGGGCCATGGACATTAGTTTTTATTTGCACACAGTCCTGTAGAAGATATTTTTACACACAGCAAAAATGCAGCCAACAAACAAACAATGGACAGTTTGAGATTTATATACTTAAAAATAAAGCTCAACAATGCAGGAAATGCTGAAATGTTCCAAGAATGCTGAGGGTCATAAAAGAGACAGCAAAGCACTAAAATTTCTGAAAACCATTGGGGAAGACTTGATGTTTTCATCAAGAAGGAAGGAGTTGCATCTTTAAGGGAAGACAAGGTTTGGACAAAGTGGAAGACAGAAATGCCGGGGAGAAGCATGGCTCATTACCCTCTTGCATTCACAGGGCACTTTTAGCCACAACGGCTTAGAGATGTGTTTGTCTGTACATTACTCAGGAAACTCTTAAGTAGACAATTCCAGTAAGAGCAATTTTCACATATGGGAATATAGGCAAATAAACTGGAAACAGACCATCCAAAATCTTTCATGCCAGACTAAGCACTTGAAAATAGTCCTTTCTCAAAGGGTGGTCTGTTTATCAGCAATACCAAAATATAGAATTATTTAAAATTAAGATAGGGGGACCCCAGGTCAGACTCAATCTAAATCTTGTAACATGCATTTTAAACATACCTCCCAGGTGATTTCATCCACACTAAGGTTTGAGAATCACTCTTTTAAGACCTGATACCCTACGTTAGGAAAACATTTAAGAATTCTTACCACAGTATTGGGTTGGCAAAGAATCTCACTTGGTTTTTCCTCTATGATGGCTCTACTAGCACTAAGTTATCTTTAACTTTATTTGGAACAATTTTGTTAGACTGCATTTTGACAACTGTCATATCAGCATCCATTTTAAAGAAAAACTTAATCAAAATTGGTGAATTTTTGTGCAGCCATTTTAATATCCAAGATGGAAAAAAGTATACATTTCCGGCATATTATGCTTTATATTTCAAGAAAGGTAAAAACGCAACTGAGATGCAGACAAAGATTTGTGCAGTGTATGGAGAAGGGCTTTGACTGACTGAAGGAGTCAGTCTCTGGACAACGCTCCACGGTCAGGTAGACCAGTTGAAGTTGACAGTGATCAACTTCATGATGAGACATTAACTGAGAACAATCAATATTATACCATAAGGGAGATAGCCAACATACCCAAAATATCCAAATCAAAAGTTATTGGTGAAAATAAAAATGTCTTTTATTTTACAGAAAAAAACTAAATCTTTTAGCCAACCTAATATACAAAGGTGGTATTTAAGCCACATCAGTCTTACTGTGCATAATCGATTGATTTAAACCTGTAGGAAGGGATACCAAATCACAAGCAACAGCCAAAAGAAAATCAGAGAAGACCCTTTGCAATACACAAAAAAGGTAAAATAATTGATATACAGTAAGTTTTCATAAAGAAAACTAAGAATATATAAAAACTCACTCAGAGAAAACATAGGCTAAGAATAAAAAATAATGTTCAACTCGTCAATAATTATGACAAATTCACTAGAAATTAAAAATTTCATTTGGCATTTCAAAATGCCAAGAGGATTGGCCGGTGTAGCTCAGAGGACTGAGTGCCGGTTCGCAAACTGAAAGGTTGCAAGTTCGATTCCCACTGAGGGCACATGTCTAAGTTGTGGGCCAGGTCCCTGATAGGCGCATGTGAGAGGCAATTGATCTTTGTACCTCTCACGCATTGACGTTTCTCTCTCTCTTTATTTCTCCTTTCCCTCCTCTCTAAAAATAAATAAAATCTTTAAAAAGGGAAGAGAAAAGAAAAAACAGCTAAGGGCAGCGAAGGCAAGGAGCATGTTGTAGAAGTATAACTTAGTCCAAAGTCTCCTTAAAAGATATTAATAGGGGCCCTGGCTGGTGTAGCTCAGTGGATTGAGCACGGGCCTGCGAACCAAACAACTGCGGTTTGATTTCCAGTCAGGGCACATGCCTGGGTTGCAGGCCAGTTCCCAACAAGGGACGCATGAGAGGCAACCATACAATGATATTTCTTTCTCTCCTTCCTTTCCCCTCTAAAGATAAATAAATAAAATCTTTTAAATAATAAGATATTAATAGGTAGCCAACAGTTCACACCCTTTGACTTTGAAAATATCCCTTTTTAGACTCTATTTTCAGAAAACAGGCAAAGATTTGTATCAAAGATATTTTAAGAATTAGAAATAACTTATATCCAAACAATGGGATGCTAACATCCTACCAAAGTTACCTTCTTTATACTTTTCTGCATTTTTAATGATATTACGAAAGATATCCTTTTGAAGTTTTTAGTCTTCAAAAAGTCTACTGGAATATTCCAGCTTATGGATAGTAATTACCACCAGACATCTCTGGTGCCAATGTCAAAGCAGCTACTGGCCTAGTGGTTAACTGGACTTAGTATCATGTTTATGTAGTTAATTATGAAGACAAATGAGTAACACTTCCTTTCTATATATAGAATGTGTAGTAAACCTGAGTTGATCAGTTTCTATTAAGCCTTACAGAATATTTTGTATTTATTATTAGGGCACAGATGTTCTTCTACAGTATATTAACGAGCTCACTGAAATCCTTTTACAAAACCCACCCTCTTCCTCCTCAATGATGGTGTAGCAGTGTGTGGGGAAGAATGACCAATCTGCCCTGACTACTGACAAGCCCCACTACTCTACAGAACAAGTCTGTTTTAGGATAGAGAAGGAAAAAGTTACATACTGTTTTTTAAAGTAACCCCAGCTGGCTAATTTAGAAAGCAATCTGGTAAACAGTCCCAATGGAACATCTGCACAAAACAAGGAGAAAACATAGGAACAACTAAACGAACGAGAAAAAATTAAATGTAGGACAGGATGAAAGAAACTCTACTCTCCTAGCCTTTCTTTAAATATTTCAACTTTAAAATTCCTCTAATTCTATATGAATATATTCCTTCCGAATTTCACATCAGTAAAAATACAATAAAACAAACCACATGTTATTGGACACTTTTACTGAAGCTCTTTCCTAAATTACTGGCTACTACCTGTGCAAAGGAATGGTTTTTACAATAACCAGGCGTCGGAAAATCCCAAACATATCCACTGGCCCTATTGCCAAAATAACCTGTAGAACACAGTGTAAGTGAATGATCCCCAATGCACTTTAACACACCTAAGTAGTACACGTTCCCCCCCCACCCTGAGTTATCCTCTTCCGGCCCCTCATTACCTCATTCATGGAACACTATAGGAGCACCCTAACGTACACATGTCCCCCCTGCACACAAGTTGAAGGCACAGACCACGTGTCCTATCATCACTATTAACTTTGTGTCTTATGTCCCTGCACTGCTGGCAGCCAGGACTTACCTATTCCCACCACTCCCAGATATAAGGATAGGAACTCTTGTTTTATTCAGAGCTGTACCTTCAGCCCTTATATAGTGTCTCGCCTACAAAAGGCATTCAATAATTTCTGAATATTTATTGACTGAATCATATTGTAGTTCTGACATATGACATATATTGTCAATCATATTGACATATGAAAACTATATAAGCTAAAACAAATCATTAAAACCAGCAGTGTGAAAATGCTACTAGCTCAATTTACCAATCAGATTCTTTAAACTGGTGACGTGGTTTACAATGTCTATTCTCTTGTGTACTGCTGTGGGACCTCCTCTTCCGTTTGTGGCTTCCCCTGTAGCTTTCATGTCCCCAGCTTTCTCTATCATCCCAATGAGGGCAGTGAGTTCTTTTGGAATGCCGCATCTGTTAATGCAAACAAAAAGAGAGTTGTGGAGGATATGGATGGTTATGTTTAGCAAATAAAATATACATTAATATTTAAATATAAACTCCCAGAACATGGCGTCACACAGGTTCTAAAATCTTTTGTAGGCCACGTTTCCCAAGGCATGGGGCTCTACTCCACTGGTATGTCAGATGATTTCAAGTGGCATGCATGTAAACCTAGGACTAAATGATGAATAACAATGTGGGAAATTCATATATTTTCTTTCAATTTTTCTGGATAAATTCTCAGCTAGGTATTTGCCCTACAACTAACACCTACTAAATAACAGTTTTAAAAATATTTTATTAATTTATTTTTAGAGAGGAGAAGGGAGGAAGAGAGGGAGAGAAACACGAATGTGTGCTTGTCTCTCGCTCGCCCCCTACTGGGGCCCTGGCCAGCAACCCACGCATATCCTCTGACTGGGAATCAAACTGGTGACTCTTTGGTTTGCAGACCAGCACTCAATTCACTGAGCCACACCAGTCAGAGCTAACTAACATTTAAAAAACATAAAAAGAGCCAAGGTTCAGGCTTAGAGCCTTCAGTAGACAATATCTAGCAGAAATTAATAACATTTTTTGGTTTTCATTTATTTTTATCATTACCTTCTTTTTATGGTAAATTTTTAGCAATCCCCTAATTAAGTTATTGATATCATTTATTTTAAATATGTTAACTTTAACATGTGAACTAATCTAAAGGGAAATACTATCATGAGTGTCATGGAGCTTTGGCAAAACACTGGCAAGCTAATACAAATATATGAAGTCAGAGAAACACTCAAGGACACGGAACACAGATGACTCTGTTAAAAAGTATACAGCCATCAATGAAGCTTCTTTTTCTCAAACATGAGAAGAGTTCCTTTCTCTCAATCTTAAAATGACTCCAAGCTTCAAAAAAATAAAAAGAGGTGAATAGAACAAGGTATTCAACAGAGAAGCTTAAGAGCAGAAAGATAATTTTATAAACTCGTTTTCTCTAACCAGATTTTCAGGTCATCCTGCAGTTATTCTTAAAATTGAAACCTTTTTTGTTGTAGATCTGGAGTGACACCAAAGAAACCAATCCACAAAGACTTGCACAGTCACAGTGAAACCAGACGAAAATGAGGACAATTCCCCGACCCCACTGATAACCTCTATTGCATTAGGGTCCTTCCAAGCTCAGAATCTGTGTTCAGACTGCCTCTCCCCATTGTCACCCCTCTCAGAGTAGTCACATTTCTAACAGTGACAGCCAAACTGCGCTGAGCAGGGGGAGTCTCACAACTCAGCAAGGAGTTGAGAACCAGTGAAACAGCAACACCCGTTACCTTCCTTCAGCTCACCCAAATGACCTCATATGAAGTAAACAAAATCAAGTAAAAAACTTGAGTGATTGCAAACATTAAAAAAGACTTTGAAACGAGGCAGCTTCAATTCCCCTGGGAGACATTCCCTAAGAAAATGTATGTGTCTGCCATCAGAGCCCGATGCCAGCGAATCTTCTGACTCAATTCTCTCGCTGACTCAAATTCCATGCCCATCAAACCCTGGACATTGTAGCTAGCTGTAACAGGGAAAAGGCAGGGCCAGGCCAAACAAAAACCCCAAAGCCTCGTTAGGGTTGTCACTGGGGATGGTAAGTGAGCATTCTGGCTTGACGTCACTTCAGTATGGGAAACTGAAATGAATGACTCTACAAACAAATGAGGTTAAAAAAAAAAAGACTGTCAAAAGAGCCATAAACACATTTCTAGTGGAATTCTTTGGCTCTTCAACTAATAAAAGTGTATTTTAACCACATTAGAAACTCTTTAAGGCAGCTTTGTTAAACAGGCTCAGATAACATCAAGCAAAATTACAACCTCTGATGATGAATACTTATTATCACGACCATCCATTATCAAGCACTTGTCGACAAACTTGTGTCTGCTTCAGTTTCATTTTTTTCTTCTACTCTGTCTGCCCAAACAGCTCACCTCTAATATGGCAGGCTTCTTAAATAACCAAAGTTATCAATATGCACAGAACTAAAATTCGAACGAGCATCTTGAGAAAGCCGAAGATTTGTACTTCTCTAATCGAGCTCACTACTTCAAATTTAATTCAGCTCTTAGGAAGTCCTCGCCACTAACGTTCAGAAATATTTTCTCAGGAGGCAAAGAGAAGACTCCTGGACCCACATTCTATGTAAAAGAAAAACTACCTAGAATTACTACGCTACTTCCAATTAATAAAGAATCCTGAGTGCTAAAATCGCAAGGTATCTTTCAAAAAAATCAAACACAATGGATTCATATGCACATATCCGTATTGGGTATTTGATTCTTTATTGCCCTTTAATACTCTATAATGCCTGACAATTTTATGTTCTGCACATGGATAAAAAAAAACATCGGAAAAGGTCAGAGCTATGATTAGGTGGCTCCCGGAGGACGGCATATAACAGGTAACCAACAGCCCGTGGGCGCGACTGTATGAAGCACAATCCCACGACAGTTTAAAAGCCAGACGGCGGGCCTCGTCGGTTTGGAGGGCTACTTCCTAAGGATCGGAGCAGCGCACCACGGCTCCTCAACGAAAATGCGTTGCATAAGTGTCAGAAATGCACGCGTGCGGCCTTGGCAAAATGCTTCCAGCTCGGGGGAAATCAGTGTCGCACGAAGGACAAACCGGTCTCTACTGCTACGTCTCAGCGAAGTACATTCCACTACTCGGACTCGCGCCCTCCCGGTTCTCGGACGCGCAGGCCCCACCCCAGCGCACCTGGCCAGGGCCTCGGGCGCACGCACAGACTGGAACCAATGCCACCGCCGCCCGAGGCCAGGCCTCCAGGGAAGGACTCCTCTCTAACAACCCACACCCGAAAGGCCGCTCGCCAAGGGCTCGCCCAAACGTCTGCTCTCTCCGACGGGGCGGGAGGAGCCAGCCTTCAGAGCTGCTAAGCGTTGTGGCCAGGGCCCTCAGGGAAGAGTCAGCGGCAGAACCGCAGTCTTTCTGCCCCAAGGTTTTAAATCTACGTAAGACCTGCGCAACTTTAGGTTTGGAAGGCTACCAGCGGAGCTGTGTCCCGAAGGAACCCCAGTCGCCGAGGCCCCGACCCCGGTCATCTCTCCGACACCTCACTCCGAAACCCGAAAACGAGTGGAAAGCCGCCCAACCCAGCACACGTCACCTGAAGTCTTACCTCTGCAAAAGCAAAAAGCTCTTTGGTCGAAAAACGAAGCCAAACCGCCGCCTTTCCAAACCAGCCGCTGCGAAGAAAACCCTACAAAATGGCGGCCGCGCTGTCTCCCAAAAACCCCCAAGGAGGCCTCTAGCTCCACCTTCGCCGCGAATCGCGCCTGCGTAACAAAGACTCGCGTGATCCCGCCCCTCCCCGAAAGAGGAGGGGCTACGGGGCGTCAAGGCAGGGTTCCACCCTACACGGTACGGCTACCTGGCTTTGGTCCTCGCGACATTTAGTACCAGTTGGACCCCGGCGACGTCCCCGTGTGAAATTGGGGAGACGTGTGTGTGCTCTGCCTTAATCCTGTGGCTTGAGTTTTGCTCCTTCTGGCGGGGGGTGCGGGGAGGAAGGTGGTTATTATGAGCTCGGCACCCCTCTGCACAGCCAGCCATGGCCGGATTTCCTGCTCTCTGGACCAGGGGGGCCGCACCATCGTACTTTGGCTGCCTGCCCTGAACTTTTCCCAGGACCTCAACCCCAGATGGTGCTAACGCTCAGGAGAGAAGCTCCAGCCCTGGCCAGTTGGTTAGAGGGTGGTTGGGAAACACCAAGGTTGTGAGCTCAATCCCCGGTCAGGGCACATACATGAATCAACCAGTGAATGCATCAGTAAGTGGAACAATAAATTGACATTTTTGTCTCTGCCTCCCTCTAAAATCTATAAATAAAAATTTAAAAAAGAGATATGAACCCCCCAAAATGCCCTGGCACAGGGCTGGTGCTGGGGCAAATTCAGTGAGCAGGATACTTACTTGTCCAGCCTGCTTGGAACTTCCAGTGTAAAAATGGACTCGGATAAATAGGATGTCTCAAAAAACAAGCTCAGGGGTACTTATCTTTTTTAAAGCATGTGCTCTTTGTCAGAAGATCACAACAAAAAGTGCAGTTTCTATAAGTTTCCTCTTTGTTATGGTCCCTACCTCCTGGGCAGTTATGGAAGCAGGAGGTTTCCTTAACAAAGGTCTTCCCATTGTTCCTGTGGGTTGACTTTATTTCCACAAGGCAGGCTGCTGCCTGTGGACTAATGAGCATCTATTAAGGGGTTTACCTCAAATGTATTTTGCAGTTTTAAGAATCCACAGACAGTTCCTACTGTGAGTGTGTAGTGTGAGAAGAGGGCCAAAGTGAGCCTTGGGGAGCACATTGAGGGACAGAGGGACAGTGTCAGGGAAGGAGTCATCAGGAGAGGAGCATCAGGAGCGTGGCATCAGAGAGAGCAAGGGATGGAAGGGCTTAAAGCAGGGCAAAGTGCACAGCATCTCCTGATGCTCTGGGAGGAGTTCAGCTGTAGTTAGTATTAAAAAGTGTTGAGGGGATTCTGTATTCTGACAATGATTCCCCGGAATAAAGAGAAAGCCAGAAATCAAATGAGAGAGGGTAGGGCTGGGCTGTTGTGGGCATAAACCTGATAGCATGTGGGAGACCTGAACTCAGACCTTTCAGGTGAAAGGAGGGCAAAATATTTCAGTGATCTAACATCATAGAAAACTACCACCTACTTCAGATAAATTGAGCTCTCGAGGAGATTGCACACCACTTCAACAAGTGAAATTAAAAAGACCTAAATGGAGCCCAGCTTGTGTGGCTCAGTGGATTGAATGGTGGCCTGCAGACCAAAAGGTTGCTGTTCGATTCCTGATCAGAGAGCATAGGTCCCCACTTGCAGGTGTGTGAGAAACAGCTGATCAATGTTTCTCTTTTTTGTCCTTTCCCCTCTCTCTAAAAATAAAATCTTAAAACGAAAAGGTGTAAGTTGAATTCTAATAAAAAAGTGTGTCACACTTTTCAAGAAGTGAAGTTGAAAAGATAATTGGGAAATTTTTATGCTACAGAACAGGAGGGGCAATATTATTCTTTTACCTGACATAGCCACCATTTCTGCATCCACAAATATAAATCTCACCTATCTCCTTCAAGGACCAACTCTAAAATGTCTGTGATTCCACCAGTTCCCACCTATTTCCTAGCTCTTGACTCTTCCAGTTGGAGATGAGGTCCCCAAACAGCCAAGGCACACTGATGTTCCTGCAGTCACCCAGGTGTCCAACCAATTTTGTCCAAAGAGTGAAATGTATTGGCCCTACAATGGATTGCAGAGTGTTTCAGGTACACACGCAGACAGAATGCCGAGCTGTGCGGATTGGGCCAGATTACCGCAGACAGAGGCCTGCGTTCGAGCTGGTATCAAAGGAGGTTCACCTTGTTGCTCTAATCTGGGAGATGTCTGTCTTGTGAGGGTAGATGAGAATGTGGTCCAAACAGGGTACAGTTCTGCTTAAACGGCCACCCAACATTAAAAGGTGGCCAAGTGGAAAGGCCACCTACAGAGGCATCTTTATAGGTCTCACCAAACAGTGATAGAACCAAATGGTGGAGTCCGCTTTGTAGTTCCTGCTATCTTGTTTTAGTATCATCTTGAGTATTTTAAGTGTGCCATGAAAGTGATTAGAGGAACTTGAGAATGCCCTGTGACGAGCATCTCTGTGTCATCGGATGTAACACTATGGCGTTTCTAACTGCCCTCTCTGGCTTGTTTTGACTGGAGACAAGGGCCTGACTTGTCTTTGGCATTGCCTTTGGCAGCTCTGTGCCCACTACCCAGCACATATATTTAGGTTGTTTACACAAGTTGCTTTTGGCCATTTACTCAAAGTTCCAAAGTAATTGGATTAAAGAATCCCCGAATCCTTGTGCCAGTTAAAATCTTACACAGCAGCCTCAACCATTTCTAAGTCAATTATCTGAAAAATGAACACTTTTGGTCAGAAGACTTAATGGAAGGTTCTAAATGTCTGAGAATCCACTACCAACACTGGAAAAACTGCCTAATCCAGTAGCCTCACCTATCCACAAGAATAAATATGTCCAACATAAAGAAAAGAATAAACAAATGAGACCTCAACAAATTAAAAACCTTCCACATGGCTAAAGAAAACAGCATTAAAATGAAAAGAGAACCAACTATATAGGAAAATATATTTTTCAGTGATACCTCAGACAAAGGTTTGATCTCCAAAATATATAAAGAACTCACATGACTCCACACCAGAAAGACAAAAAATCCAATTAAAAAATGGGCAAAAAACTTGAACAGACACTTTTCCAAGGAGGACATACAGAGGGCCCAGAAACATATTAAAAGATGCTCAGCATCACTTGCCATCGGAGAGAAGCAAATTAAAACCACAGTGAGGTACCACTTCACACCAGTCAGAATGGCCATCATAAGCAAAGCAACAAACGAGTGTTGGAGAGGATGTAGAGAGCAGGGAACCCTAGTGCACTGTTGGTGGGAAGGCAGACTGGTGCAACCACTGTGGAAAACAGTATGGAATTTCCTCAGAAAACTAAACATGGAACTGCCTTTTGACTCAGTAATTCCGCTGCTGGGATTATATCCTAAGAGCCCTGAAACACCAATCCAGAAGAACCTATGCACCCCAATGTTCATAGCAGCACAGTTTGCAATAACCAAGTGCTGGAAGCAAACTAAGTGCCCATCAGTAAATGAGTGGATCAAAAAACTGTGGTACATTTACACAATGGAATTCTATGCAGCAGAAAGAAAGAAGAAGCCCTTACCCTTTGCAACAACATGGATGGAACTGGAGAGCATTATGCTGAGTGAAATAAGCCAGGCAGTGAGGGCTTATGATCTCACAAATGCCATGTGATCTCACCTTTAAATGGAACATAATCAAAAGAAAAAAGCAAACAAAATATAACCAGAAACACTGAAATTAAAAACAATCTAAAGATAGCCAGCAGGGAGGGGGGAGGGGACAATGGGGGAAAGGGTTTTCAGGAACTACTATAAAGGACACATGACAAATTCAAGGGGGAGGGTGGAAGCAAGGGAGGGAGGTGGGTTTGGCTGGGGTGGGGGGAGTGGGGGAGAAATGCAGAAAATTGTAACTGAACAACAATAAAATAATTTTTTAAGAAAGAATAAATATGTCCAAGAAAAATCTCAGGTTAAACCATATACTTTTTTAAAACCTTAGCTTTACAGAGCAACCCAAGGGAAATTCTCATCATCTATTCTAGTACAGACATTCTACATGTTTAACTGCAGACACGGAAAACAGTCATCCATGAAAACGAAGTTCCAGAGCAAAAGTCTAAGTTGTTTTGTAAATTAAGTTTGACAAGAGCTTTTCACATACAGAGAAACCTCTACATAGATGTGAACAAACCTTTGCAGAATTATAATCTTTCGTAAGTTACTTATGACTGATACCTATTTTCATTGAATTATATTTTTAAGCTATCAATTAAATATGCATTATGTACTAACTATGTGATCCTTGTGAAATAATCATTGGTTACTTGCTCTAGGTCATTGTCATCTACTTGCAGAACCAAAATGCAACCTCAGATCTTACTGGCTCCGAACCAGTTAACCATCCCACTGGCTATTTCAATTTACACAATAAAGTATACAGCAACTGACTTTACTTCCTTATTAGGCAAAATCTCTCCGGGTCCATCTTTCAGCCAGGCCGCAGGAGTGTTTTTAAAAATAAAATTTCTGAGGTGATGTATCATCAAAGGCTTTTTGCGATGAAGGAAATGGGTCAGTTTATCTCCAGCACAGCCAGGTCACCAAGGGTCCCAGCGTGCCTTCCTTACTGTCCAGCAAGTCCCAAAAGGGCTCCCACACGCCACCTACTGCCTAGGGTGGGTAACAGCCCAGGTTTCTCCAGTACTTCCTGGCACTGGTTGTGAGGATATGGAGCTGGATTCATTCCCCGAAAACAGAGCTAGAAACATTGCCTGGTACACAGTGCACTCTGCAGTATGTATGTAAGGTGGGGAGTGGAGGGCTTTGGGGAGTGAACTCAGAGGTTCTGTAGGAATAGGAGAGACCGTTATTCCAGTCTTCTTGTCCATTTCCACCATCTCCCATGAAGGGGCTTTGAAGCCAGGCTCATATATTAGAGTCTCTTAACCTTGTTACCAGTGATCCCAGCAATGAACCATCAATCCCTTGAAAGCATTGAAGGGAAAATATATTTACTTAAATCCTAAATGCCTTAAGAACGGTGTA